CGTCACCTTGGGTGTATGTGGCTGGCACCACAGCTGCCTCAGCCTCCCGAGTAGCTGGGACCACAGGCGCCCGCCACAATGCCCGGCTATTTTTTGGTTGCAGCCGTCATTGTTGTTTGGCGGGCCCGGGTCGGATTCGAACCCGCCACCTTAGGTGTATTTGGCTGGCGCCCCAGCCACTTAAGCCACAGCGCCGAGCTTATTTTCTCAAATTTTGTATAACATTAGATTCTATTATAATGTAGTAATCATTGTAGAAATATAAGCAAGTAAAATTAAGGAGTGTGAAACATGCCTATTCTTAACATATACGACGAGGCAATGCAACTTATTAAAATGTATCACAAATACTGACTTGCTTTAATAAAATGGATCAAGTATCTAGCTTTGACTAAGAGTGATAAAGACAACCTAGTCAAAATTCATATTTTGCATTAATGGCAATTTTAGTATTTTTCATTTTCTTAAAGGAAATATCAAGTATTTCTCTAAGTTAAATAAATATATACTTAGCTGATTGACTAAATGAATGGTGGAATGCACAGAACAAACTTAATAACATCTTAACCTTACTCTCCACTCTGCTTTTTACTTTTTAGAATGGACACACATGAACTTGTGTGCTTTGTTCATGATCTTCATGATTACGTCCTTGTTAGGTGCATTAAGTCTGTGGTGAGTAGTAGTCAAAGTTCTTGACTTGATTTAGGTGGTTTATTTAGGGTATTTAGTGTAATATTTAAAAAGTATATTTACTATATTGATAAAAGGTTAACCATGGCTTACTGATAAATATATAATTGACATGCAACATTATGTTGATTTATCAATATTTGCAGCAATGAGTGTGATTGAAGAAAGAAGTACATTCAATGTAGGAAATGCTTCTATATATAGATGTTAGGGATACTTAAAGATCTTGTCCGTGAGTTTTTGATTCTCATATATTTTGTTATTTTTAGTGAACTAATACATTGATCAATATATGATTATGAAAAAAAGTAGTCTCAAGCCTGAACCAGTATTATTAATAAATTAATCAACGAACAATGAGGAAATGAATGAAGAGAAAGGGGGCCTTTCCTGGACCACCGATGATGAGAAGTCCCGGCGTATGAGTCTTGGACGATGAATAATACGTTCTGGATCTCTGAGGTCCAAAATGAAAGGAATCTAGCCCACCCCCTGTGGATGGTCTTATACAAAGATGTCAGGAGAATATAATGACCTGTTCTTGTCTTTGTTTTCATGAATTTTAAGAAATATTTAAATTAAGGTAGCAATGGAAGAACCCATAAATATTTCTGTAAATGAATAAAAATGAGAGAGGAAGTACGATATAATTTTAAAATGTATAGTAAGCAAAAATAATGGTAGCATAAGTTGACATTGATTATAAGTAGGTTAGTGTATTCTATCTTTGACTAAAGGTGATGTTGACAGGACAATGATGAGTAAGAGTTATTGCTCTGAATCAGTTGGAAATTTTAAGAGAGAATTAATAAATACCACCATTAATTATAATAATAAATACCTAAGTGACTATGTAAATGAGTGAGGAAGGTATGGGTCCATAGAGAGAATGTCTTAGTATATTTATCATCTTCTCTGCTTTACACTCTTCAGAATGGATACTCTGAGCAATTTAAACATTCTGCTTTGATCAAGATTAAGTTTCCTCTTGTAGAAATGAAACCAATGTGAGTATGACAGTTAAAATTCTTGTTTTGCTTTAGGCTATTTGATGGAGGATATTTATGGTATTATTAAAACATATTAAATGTAATATAAAGCTAACTATGACCCAGTTACGGACATGATATGAAATATGTGCTGACTAATTGCTAATTTGCAACATTGAGGTCAATTAATGACAGGCTATGTTATTATATGTAACATCAACTAATGTTAAGTATTTTCAAGTATCTTATTCTTGGATTTGTTAATAATATGTTTATTTAGATATTATTTATAAATTAATAATGTATTCAAACAACTATAGAAACTAATGAATAGAAAGAGACCCAAACATGGACCTATGGTGACCACTGGTGGCATTTGAGGCGTGTACGATGAATAATATGTGTCTGAAACTCTGAGGTCCAACACAGAACATATTAGTCAATTCCTTCCTTTTAAAGTAAGATAAACATCAGAAATGTCTGAAGATCATATTTGGGATTCATAGATGTATATTTATCATTAATAGATCATTGATAGGACAATGAAATAAGTACACATAAAGAAGAGAGTGAATCATTGTTCAAGTGTGAATACATGTGATGATCCAAGAAATTTTGCTAAAAGTTTTAAATGCTGATGCCCCTTGAGAAAAATGTTTTGTGGGTATCAGTTACCTCTTTGGCTATGATTTATGTAGACTTTTTAATAAGTTAGAGTAAATTTCATTATAGTCTGAAGTTTGAGGTTATACCCACCCAGGCTGGCAGGTTTGAACCCGGCCCAGGCCAGCTAAAAAACCAACAATGACAACTGTACCACCACCACCACCAACAACAAAAATAGCCTGGTGTTGTTGGAGGGCATCTGTGGTCCCAGCTACTTGGGAGGCTGAGTTAAGAGAATTGCTAAGCCCAAGAGTTTGAGGTTGCTGTGAGCTGTGACACCCCTGCACTCTACCGAGGGCGGCCTAGTGAGACTCTGTCTCAAAAAGAAAGAAAAAAAAAAACCACCTGCCTTATAAAAAGTTAATAAGTGACTGAAGAAGAAAGATACAGTAAGGAAGGATCAGTGGATAGAAGGTCTGAACTTTTTAAAGAAAATTATCTTCTCTGCTTTATATTCCTCAGAGCAGACATACCTGAGCTGATTTAAACATTTATGGTCTTGAGATCTGAGGTTTCTGTTTGTTAGGAGCACAGACACCAATGTGAGTAATAAAAGTTCATGTGTTTATTTAAGAAGGTTTTTTTCTTTCTTTCCTGTAACTATTTTACTTTATAAATTCTTTTGTAATAACACTTGGTTTAAACCGCCCCTTTTTTTTTTTTTGAGATAGAGTCTCAATATGTCACCCTCAGTAGAGTACCCTGGTGTCACAGCGCACAGCAATCTCATATTCTTGGGCTTAAGGAATTCTCTTGCCTCAGCCTCCCAAGTCGCTGGAACTATAGGCACCTGCCACAAGTCCCGGCTATTTTTGTTATTGTTATCACAGTTGTCATTGTGGTTTAGCAGGCCCAGGCGAGGTTCGAACCTGGGTGGATATAGCCGGCAGCCTACCCACTGAGCTCTGGGTAGAGTGCTATGGCATCACAGCTCACAGCAACCTCCAGCTCCTGACTTAAGGAATTCTCTTGCCTCAGCCTCCCAAGTCGCTGGAACTATAGGCACCTGCCACAAGTCCCGGCTATTTTTGTTATTGTTACTTAGCAGGCATGGGCTGGGATTGAATCCCCCAGCCCCAGTGTATGTGGCTGGTGCCCTAACCACTGAGTGATGGGCACCAAGCCTGGCTTGAAACTTTTAAGGGTATTCATTATATCATTAAAGTGTGAAATTCATCCCGTAGGCCAGCTGTGACTGATGATAAATTTGAGATTGTGATGATTGTTAAATTTATGATCATATCCATTTATAATATGATTATATCCATTTATAATATGTTAAGGATAATTCATGAAAGATGTATCAGACACATGACTGACACATGACTCTACAGACTGCTATGGAACCGTCAATGTTCTTATTCTTTGGTTATTTTATTTATATGGGATGTAAAATTAGTATTAGTAAATTAGTGTACAAAAAAATGTAGATGAGAACATTCTCAAGCCTGGAAAAACAATGACAACCGGTGGCATAGGAGTCATGGGTGTCTCCACCTCTGAAGTCCAATAGAGAAGGAAATATATAGTCTACTATTTCTGAAGTGATCCTATAGACAGGTTGGGGAATACAAAAGAATCACTTCTTGGAATTTTTAATTTTTATTATAAATTCATCAATGCAAGAATCATGGTATATATATAAAAGAGAAGAGTTGGAGGAGTGTGAATTGTATCCAATCTTAATCAAAATTTATTCAAAATACTTAATTCAATTGAAATAAATGGTTTAAGTGTCTTTGTTAACTAAGGGTGCTATAGACTGGATAGTCAAAGTTCATATTCTGTGTCAGAGTAAAGGTAATACTGTTCATTTTTTGAGAGAACATTACTATGTATCACCACAAATTAATGTATAACTAAATAACTAATAGAAAGGTAGAATGAATGCATTGATAGAAAATAAGGCAATCTTGCCATCATGTCCTCTTCTTTGTACTTCTCAATATGAACACACCTGAACTGACAGTACTTGGCTGTATTCTGAAGCTTCACATTTGTACCTATGTGTAAGTAAGTGTGTGTTGACTAATATGAGTAATAGTCAGATTCTTCCTCAGGTTGGCTGTTGTGTTTAAGAGATTCACTATATATGTGAATATTATCAAACAAGGCCAGCCATGTCCCAAGGATAAAAAACTAAAAAATTATGTCTATTAGTAGCTATTTGTACCAATGAAGATTATTAATGAAGCTAATGCTTATATGTATATTAGGATATATAAATATCCTATTCTTGAGTTTTTGAGATTCATAGATATTTGTTAAATGAATTAACAAATTATTAGAAAAACAGTATAGAAATTGATGGAGAAAAAGAGGGCCAATACTGGGTCAGAGACTACTGGTGGTGTATGAGTGAAATATGATGAATACATCTAGAACTCTGAGGTCCATCACTATCTAGTCTTATACCCTTTGTTTGAAAAGTTCCTAAAGGCAAATGTCAAGGAAATACAAGGATATTGTTCTTTTCTGTTCATGAATTTAAAAAATATTATTATTAAAGTATCAGTGGCAGAATAAACAAACATGTAGAAAAATGAATTAAGAAGTGGGTGAGATATTGGTCTTATTATGCATTGTTGAAATGTATAGTAAGGAAAAGGAATACTAATGCAAATGGAAATAGAAAGATAATGAATGGGTCCAGTATATTACATCTTGACCAAGGATCACATAGAGACAATTTTAAGTAGTAGTTATTGCTGCATGTCGGTTGCAAGTTTGTCATTTTTTATATTAAGTGAATAAATCATAAATATCACTATGAATTAATAAATATTTAGGTGACGATGTCACTGAATGGTGGAAAATATGGATCCACACAGAGAATTTCTCAATATTTTTATCATCTTTTCTGTTTTTTACTCTTCAGAATGGATACACTGGGACCAGTATTATGTTGCCTCTGTGTTAAGCCAATGTGAGTAAAAGTCAATTTCTTATCTTAGTTTCCATCATTTGTTTAAAGATATTTCCAGTATTATTAATATCATAAACATATTAACAATGGCCCAATGATAATGTGCAACAGTAAAGTTAATTAATCAAAGAGATATTGTTTCTGTGGGAAATGATTCTATAAACTCTACACCTTATACTGAAATACCTTATTCTTGGATTTTTAATTGTGTATTAATTTTAGAATTATCAATGAATATGATTTATTAAATACAATTGTAGAAATAAGTGATGAAAAAGACACTCCTTTGTGGATCAGTGATGACGACTGGTGGCGTATGAGTCATGGATGATGAATACGTGTCTGGAACTCTGAGGTCCAAGAAGAAAAGAATCTCTCAGTTATTGTCTTTGTCAGAAATGATCCTTTTGATAGGTTGTTGAAACATCCAAAAATAACTTTTGTGTTTTGTGTTTTTTATTTTGTCCTCTGTACTCCTCAGGATGGACATGTCCAAGCTGATTTTAGCATTATTCTCTGGATATGAAGTCTACAGTTGACTCTGTATGTTAGGAGTATGAGGACCAATGTGAGTAATAGTTCAGATCCTTGTCTCAGTTGGATGTTCTGCTTAAAGATATTTACTATATTATTAAAAAAGTGTAAAATAAAATCAGTGACTACCAAATCATAAAAGTGTAATTAACATATATGTAACATTGAAGTCAATTAATTAAAGAGTATTATTGCCATGGGAGATTATTCTAGAGGAAGATGTTGGAAATATCAAGATTTTTTGTTATTTAGTTTTCATGACTCTTGAGGATCACTGGTGGGTGGCATAAGGTCATATGTTTTGAATATGTTTCTGATACTCTGTGGTCTAGTAAGAAAAGAATTTAGGTTATTGCCTCTTTTGGAAATTGTCCTATAGATGATTTGAGATAATATAAGAATCTTGTTCTGGCTTTTATGTTTTGTTCATGGATTTTGATTTTAATGTAATAAATTAATCAATAAAAATCATTGTACAGATACGAATTATTATAAAGTAGCAGCAAGAGAATATACATACATATATATTAAAAACACTGAAGCCCATTAAAAAACCAAATGGTTATTATGGTTTTTCTGACTAAGGATCATACAGACAATACACATTAAATAATTGCCATATTTTGGTTAAAGGCTAGTGGATAGTTTGATGTTTGTTTTTCTTAATCAAGTTTAAGTGTTACATGTATGTTGGCCCAAATCAATTTATACCTGAAAATACAAGCACCAATGGGGAGAAAGTCTGAATTTTGTGTTTATTTGCCCTGCTTTGTACTTTTCAGAAGGAACACACCTGAACTGATGAAAGCATTCATGACCTCCACAATTGCCCATAGCGCAGGTGCATGAAGTCCAATGTGAGTTCTATATAGTGTTTTTGTCTTGGTTTTGGTGGTTTGTCTTGGATATTCACTGAATGAATGTTTTTTAAAGTGTTAAAAATACTAAAAAAAGCCAGCGATAGCCCAGTGATAAATGTGGATTTGACATGAAGCACATGTTGATTAATCAGTTTTTGTAACTATGAGGATGATTAATAGAAGAGGTTTATTCAATGACATAAGTGATTCTATAGATAGATGTTAGAGATACTTAAAGTTCTTTCTTTTCCTTGACATTTTGTGACTCACAGATAATTATTTCATCATTAATGATGAATTGAGAATCAGTAAATAAATGTAGATTAGTATGAAGAAAATGACACCTAAATCTGCACCAATGGTAACTATTAGAGGTGTGTGAGCCACTGATTATAAATAAATACTATGTGTCTGAAACTGTGAGATTTTTAGAAATGATATCTAGTTTATTTCCTAGGATAATTTGTACATGAATTGACATTAAGAATATATAAGGATCTAGTTCTTTATTTTTGATTCATGAAAGATGGTGGAATGAATAAATATTCATTCTTTGACCAGATTATATTATAGATATACTAGTAACATGAAATGAAAACACTGATTCCCATAAAGAAAGAAATAGACCTAAATGTGAACCTCTTTGATTAATAATCATGTAGACACTGATAAGAGTCAGTTTTATTGCTTTTTTTTTTTTGAGACAGAGCCTCAAGCTGTCCCCCTGGGTAGAGGGCCGTGGCATTACAGCTCACAGCAACCTCCAACTCCTGGGCTCAAG